ACACTTAAAAACTATGAGGAAGCAATGTGCAAGTTTCTACTTGCACAATTAAAAACAATGTGTAAGTTTCTATTTGCACACTTTTTTCCATTATTCCCTTCATATCTTTTTCACTCTCCGCCAACATCGCTCTATCGTCCGTATAAACCAGCGTATATAACTTCCTCCCTCCCAACCTAATTCCCCCAACCCCCTCTTCTCAGCTCATCATTAATGTCCGTCAACAGCAACGTAAACAAAATCGGACTTAACGGGCACCCCTGTTTTTTAAGTTTTGAATGAAACGGCGAATGTATGCGGTAATACGGAGAAGTCGGATCCAGCTCGAGCACGAGGTGGGCAGATCCCACTCAGGAGTTGGATCGACGAGATGAACGGTAACTTTGCGCGCTTCGGAAGATACTGTTTGCAAAACTTCCTTTTCGATAGGAGTCGGCCTTCGGAGGAGGATCGGCCACAAGGCCGGGGATTTTCTAAGCCACGGAAGGCCGAACCACCATAATTTATGGTGGACAAGGTCGACAGCAATAGAGCCGCGAGAAGCGCAGTCGGCAGGATTGTCGTAAGAACGGACGTGCTGCCAACGTATTGACGGAAGGCGCGTCTGCACCTCGGAGACGCGGTTCGCGACGTAGGAATTCCATCGAAATGGATGTTGTTGAATCCAAGCCAATGCGATTTGGGAATCAGTCCATCCGAATAATGACGCTCGCGGAAAGCGCAGGGAATTTTTTACCCAATCTAATAACCGAGTTAATAGAACGACGGCGTTAAGTTCTAATCGTGGAACGCTGACGGTTTTTAACGGCGCGACCTTTGTTTTGGCCGCGAGGAGGGTAACCTGAATATTTGTGGTAGAATGCACGATTCGGAGGTAAACGACCGCGGCGTAAGCTCGAATGGACGCGTCCGCGAATCCGTGTAATTCCACTTCGATTTTATCTTGACGCATCCCTGTCCATCGGGGAATGCGTATTTCACTAATATGAGGCAAATCCGTAAAATAATTAATCCAATGAGGTAAAAGATCGTCGGGGATCGGAGAGTCCCAATCAATTTTACGGAGCCAGAGTTCTTGCATTAACATCTTGGCCGCGATGACTATCGGTGACGCCCATCCGAGGGGGTCATATAACCTTGCAATAAATGATAAAACGGAGCGTTTAGTATGAACAGTTACGGCGTAAGGCGAGATTACAAAAGTAAACGAGTCGTCATGCGGGGACCAAGATAGGCCGAGGACCTTCCCCCTTGTGGTGGACTGCCTTGGCGCGGCGAGGGGGCTCCCCGTTCGGATCCGGCGGGTCATATCCGGTGGCTTCTGCTTGCAGAGGTCACTGCGGTGACCCGTCGGTGAGGTGCGGGGTCTAAGAGTCCACCCTTCCTGCCGCCGGCCCTCGGGCCGGAGGGGCGGGAAGAATGGGAGCCCGGCGACTCCCTAGGGACTGACCTTCGGGTCGGACCCAATCGCCGGTAGGGGAAGGCGACCCCGACTTCAAACGCCCGTTCGGCCGGGACCGATAGGTGAAGCCGTGTCTTCACCGCCGGCCATGAGCCTTCACTTCTTGGCCATTGCACGCCGGTGCTCCGGCAGGCTGGGCAGTGGAAGCTGGTGTTTCCTCCCCGTCACTCACTGCACGTCGGTGCTTCGGCAGAGTGGCGGGGGGGTTGGTTCCCCACGGGGTTCCCGGGAGGTGGGTTCCTTCCCCACTTCTGCGGCGGGCAGGGATGGCGTCTCGTTGCGGGAGTGGGAGGACCCTGGCCAGCGCTCCTTTAGGGGCGTACGCCCTTTTCAGGGCGGGCGGGGGTAACCACCTTTCGTCCCTTCCCCGTACGTGGTGTAGGTGAGGGCGGAGGGTAGGGCCCGCACTGCGGACTTGCACACCAGGGATGTGATCCCACGGTGTCCGCAGTGCGGAGGGCAGTCCCGAGCCGCTTCGACGTTTTCGGAGGTCGGGGTCGGGCTGCCTGGAAGGGGGACCTGTCAGGCCGCTCGGACATACTCCGAGGTCGGGGCCGGCGAGTCCAACCGTCGGACGCAAGGGCCGGCGGCGCGTTGGTTAGCTCGTTAGTCGGCGATCGGCTGGGGGTCTCCGTCGTCTCCTCTCGCGGGCGGCGGGGGGCTGGGATCGAGCTTGCTCGGCCGGTCCTCTCGTCGTTCGTGGGGGGGGGCGGCGGGGGCTTTCCGGTCGGGGTCGGCTGCAGGCGGTGTTTCAAGGGTCGTGGGCGGCTCCCGGGAAGACTCCCGGGGGGGCGTCCTCGATACGGGTTTGGCAAACCCGGGGATACCCGAGCTCGGGCAGGCTGGGCTCGTTAGCCGTGGTGAAGGCAACCAGCCTAAGGGAGGGCCACCCCGAAAACAAACCAACTTTAAATAATATGAAAGATGTCGAATAAAGTAAGGGAAGGCCTACCGTCCTAGGGGATTTCGGAACCCCAGGGACCGGCGCGGAGTGGGATATTGTCCCGGTTCCCCCCGTGTCGTCATCGAACGACGGGCCGACCTGCGTGTTGCGGGCGAGCACGCAGGTGGAACGAGCGATCGCTCAGGTAATGCGGTGAAGCAAGGCGTCACCAAGGTGACGAGGGGCAAGTCCTCTAGGACAACTAGAGGAACAATGAGGGGTCCTGCGGGTGCACGGGCGAAAACCAAACAGCCTTCGCACAAACGCGTTCCCGAGGATGATCCCACTACGAGCGAGGATGAGGAGAACAACCTCGCCTTGCGTATTTGTAAAAAAGACGGGAAGAAAGACGACGCATTAATAGTCGCGTCTGAGAAGTCCTTGGACGGAACTAATGCTGTTAAATCAGGAAAACTTCTGTCCGGGTCCTGCTCCGAGGATTCCCTAGAGGATGAGAAATCCTTCGAGGTTACAGAAGAGGAGGACAGCCACACTGATGCGGAGATGAAGGAGTCTTCGACCAGGCAGGTGAGGAAGACGGAACCGTCGGCCAAGCCGGCCGAGACGGAGGAGGTTTTGAGAGGTCAAAGTAGGCCTGTAACAACGGGTGCCTACGAGGAGAAAAAGTACCAACAGGCCAAACGGAATAGGATAATGGAGAAGCAAAGACTCCAAGATATCCAAAATCCTGCGGTTCCGGTAAACCCCTCAAAAAATAGAAAGATTCGGAAGAAAGGATTGTTGGAGGAATTACGCGATGCCCCAACGGTCGACCTCCCGAACCGTATCTTGGAGGCTGTCAAGGTGGTTGACAGGATATGTCAGACTGCCGGAAATCTCAAAGGCACCGACCAGAGGTCCCTGAGGGACGCCGCTGCAACAATTACAGTAGCGACAACGCACATGGTTGGTAGGCTTGGGCAAGTCACCGAGATAGCCATGAATGTAGAGGTAGAAGAGCTTTGCCAACAAATGGCAGCGATGAAAAAAGAAAACGAGGAGCTGAGAGCCCTCGTGGAAAAGTCGCTAACCATTAGGAGAGAAGAGCCCATGGATGTGGAGCCCTGTGACACTCCTCTCCCGGACTCCCTGGCTCGTAAAAGGGGAGCAAGAAAAGTGAGACACGATAAAGTGATCCCCAACTACTCGAAATCCACGGACGAAGAGGAGAGGGAAAGGGCAAGAGCAGAGTCCGATGCCAGACGCCAGGTGATCCTCAAAGAGATAGTCCAAGAAGAAATGCCGGCGGCGTAGAGGCCAGCGCTTGGTGGGAAGATGGCGGTATTGGAGGAGGCTGTCCCACCTGAACACGCAGCGCAGGGAACACAGAGTCTCGACGAGAGACTGATGAAACTCAAACATAAGTTTGAACGTATGTTCGAAAGTCTGGCTAATAAATTGGCCATCAACCAAGTGACCGCTCCGTCAACTGCTCAGCAAAAGGCAGGCAGGGGCGGCCAGACAGCAGCTGCTCAGGAAATCTCTATCCCCAATAAGGGAAAGAGGATGGTGAGTGGCGATAGGAGGAAGAAGACCTCCAGCGGCAAGGGTGCGCAGAAGCCCTCGTTCGCAGAGGAGCAAGAAGTGGTAGCGGTGCAAAAGGGACTAAGACCTCTGGCACCGCAACAACCAAACAGGCCGGTAAAACCACCCCTGCCACTAGGGCCCCATCAGGGAACACTGCGTCAAGTGCGTGGACTACGGTGGGGAAGAAAGGCAAAGCGGTTGGACGTAAGGCCGAAGGGAAGGTTGGAGGCGCGGGCGGAACATCGGCTGGGGGAAACAAACCAGCCGCCACCGTGCAAAACAATCCGGCTAAACCGGGGGGTAGGAACGCGGAGTCGGGTAGTGCCCTCCCCAAGAGAGGAAAAAAAAGGTCGCCACGCTCCGCGGCGATCACGATTACGAATTTGGAGGGAAACTACCACGAACTTCTAGATGAGGCCCGCTCCAAGATAAACCCAGGGGAACTGGGTTTCACAACGGGCTTCAAGCCGAAGAGGGCTCAGACCGGGGCTTTAATCATTGAAGTCCCCGGCAAAGACAGCTCGGCCAAGGCGGATCTACTTGCTAACCACCTGGCCAAAGTCTTCGAGGGACGCCCTGGGGTCAAGATTGCGAGACCCACAAAGACAGGCGAGATAAGAATCCTTGACCTTACGGATTCAGCCACAGCGGAGGAGCTGGTGGTAGTTATTGCGGAAGTGGAAAGCTGCGTACCCAAGCAGGTTCAAGTTGGCCCGCTCGTCAAGGGACCGAACGGTCTCTTTACAGCGTGGGCGAGGTGCCTGCTAACGGCGGTGAGTGCCATCCAAAAGGCTGGCAATAAACTGATGGTGGGTTAGTTCCTCGCAAGGGTGCAGCCGCTCGAGGAGCGCCCCCTACAATGCTTCAAGTGCTTGGAAGGGGGACATGTCCGAGCGGCCTGCACAGGCGATGTGGACCGTAGCACCCGGTGCTTCCGGTGCGGAGACAACAACCACCGAGCACGGGAATGCAGAGCCCCCCCCCAAGTGTCCCGTCTGCAGCGACCTGGGAAAACCGGCGGGACACAGGGCGGGCGGTAAACTTGTCCTTCCGCAAGGAAGAAAAGTAAGCCGCTAAGAAGTAAGGGAGCCACAAAACCGGGTACATTCTCCTTCCAGGCCGAAACAGGCAACGGGTCGAGGGGCAGATCGGAGTCGGGACCTCCTAAAGCCCAACCGAGAATCACCTCTATTGAAAAGGTGAGACTCTCGGTCAGCAAGAGGAAGGCTGAGGAAAGAACAGCCTCAGATGTAGAGAGCTGCGGGGAAGTTGAAATGGTAGACAGACCCAAAGCCTAGAGAAAGAGGAAAAACAGAACGAGACTCGGACCAAGCGAAAAGGCAACAGCGGCAGCAACAACCGCTGCAGCTGCAGGAGCAGCAGCCACAGCTACCGTGGCAGCAACTCGTTCCTGCGCAGAACCCTGAGGAAATACAGGGTAACGAAGAGGTGGAAATGGAGCTAACGGAGCCGCAGCAAACGACCCCATTGCCGGTTCCAGCCCATGAAGCGACGCCCGAGACTTACGAGCAAGTAGTGCAGGAAATGCAGCAGAATGCAGAGCCTTAATTAGTAAGAGGAGAAGAGAAAGAGGTGGGGGCCTTTGGTGACGAGTACTACTAATGGCCCCCCAGCGCATTCTGCAGGCTAATCTAAATCACACCACCGCCTCGCAGGACGTGTTTCTTCACATTGTGGCGGAGCAGGGGTGTAACCTGGGGGTGGCCGCCAAGCCGTACAGAGTGTCGCCGAACAACGCGTTGTGGGCGGGTAGCCGGTGCGGTTCGGTGGCCATAACATGGAGACAGACGCGGGATCCGGTTCCCTGCTCCAAGTTTGGGGTGGGGAACGGATACGTCGTCGTGAAATGGGGCCGTGTCTACGTGGCGGGAGTATACGTTTCTCCCAATATGGACACGGCCTCATTCGAGAGGGTATTAGACGAATTGAGAATTTGTCTAATGAGAATTCCGCCAGCACACAGGCAAATTCTGGTGGCCGGGGATTTCAACGCCAAATCGACGTTGTGGGGCTCCCCGGACGCTACTGCCAACGCTAGGGGCGGAATTCTCGAGTTATGGATGGCGGGCCTGGGACTCGTGTTGCTGAATTCCGGGAACGCACAGACCTGTGTGAGACTGCGGGGGGGATCCATAATCGATCTGACTTGGGCCAGTCCCTCCGTAGCCCGCCGGGTAAGGGATTAGAACCGCCCGGCGGGTGGCCGAAGAGATCGAGACATTGTCCGATCATTTATTTATAGAGATGAGTCTCTCGGCCGCCCCCTCGAAAGTCCAGGCCCGTCGGAGGGAGACGGAACTCCGCTTCCCGAGATGGAGCTTAAGGAAACTGGACGAAGACTATTTAAGAGCCTCGATCAGCGCCTCGCTGTGGGTCGACAATCTCACGACAATCGAGGACGTCGACGAAGCGGCCGGGAAGATAGGGGAAATAATAAAGGAGGCGTGCGATGCCGCCATGCCCCGTTTCCGGCCGCAATCAAGGAAGACAGCTTACTGGTGGACGAAGGAGATCGCCGAACTAAGGCGCTCCTCCGTCCACGCTAGGCGACGCTGGCTTCGAGCCAGAAGAAGAGGCGACCAGCGTTTACTAGAGGAGACGGATGTGGAGTATCGCTCCGCCAAGCAGCTCTACTCCCAGGCCATAAAAGTGGCCAAGGACGGGTCCTGGCAGGAGCTCTTGAAGGCTCTGGATGAAGACCCGTGGGGGCGTCCGTACAGAATAGTCCTCAATAAGTTGAGGACTTGGACGCCCCCGATCACGGAGTCCATGGAACCCGAGTTCCTCGAGGAAGTGGTGAGTACCCTCTTCCCCGACGATCCCGGGGAGAGGATGCACGGAGGTCCTGCTCCACCCACGGTGGAGTGGGAGGAGGGACTCGGTGTATCCATGGACGAGTTGAGTAAAGCCGCCAAGCGTCTCAAGGCGGGCAAAGCTCCAGGGCCGGACGGAGTGCCGGGCAAGGTTTGGTCCTTGGTCACCGGGGAACTGGCCGAGCGCCTGTGCGCACTGTACACAATGTGTCTCCGGCACGGCCGGTTCCCCAAGGCGTGGAAAATCGCAAAGTAGGTCCTCCTCCCCAAACCGGGGAAGCCCGCGGATCAGCCATCGTCATACAGACCAATTTGTCTGCTGGACGAAATCGGCAAATTGTTCGAAAGGATCATAGCCGACCGACTAGTCCGGCACTTGTCCCGGAGGGGTCCGGATTTATCGGACAATCAATACGGCTTCCGAGAGGGGCGATCAACGATCGACGCCCTGAAGCGCATCATGTCCCTCTCGGAGACCGCTACGGAGGCCGGCAGGGTGTTGCTGGGAGTAAGCTTCGACATCGCGAATGCTTTCAACACCCTGCCGTGGCCAACGATAAGGGAGGCACTACTCTATCACGGCGTGCCTCCCTACTTAGTGGCCATATTGTTCGACTACCTCCGGGACAGACAGTTGGTCTACACGGACCAAGATGGTCCGTGTCAGGCTGGTCGTGCGGGGGGTTCCACAGGGGTCGGTCCTCGGGCCGCTTCTGTGGAACTTGGGTTGGGATTACGTTCTCCGGATCGCCCTCCTCCCGGGGTGTTGGTTGAATGGTTTCGCCGACGACACCTTCCTGGGAGTTAAGGGCGATACGTGGGAGGAGGCCATACGGAAGGCAAATGTCGCAATGGCGGCGGTTGTGGCCGCAACGAGAAGGGTGGGCGTCAAGGTGGCTCCCCAGAAGACGCAGGTCGTCTTCTTTCACGGGAAGTCCAAGGGGAAGCCACCAGCCGACGTCTATATCATGGTCGAGGGAACCCGTGTCTCCGTGGGGTCCAGCATGAAGTTGCTGGGCCTCTGGTTGGACGGTACCTGGAGCTTTGGCGAGCACTTCGCTCGCCTTACTCCAAAAGCCAAAGGAGTAGCTAATAGTTTGGCGAGGCTAATGCCAAACATGGGAGGGGCGAGCGGTCGTGCTCGCCGGCTCTACGCCGCGACCGTGCAGGCCGTGACGCTCTACGGCGCCCCGATTTGGGTGTCGGCAATGGAGGGCTCGCGCCAACTGCGGGCGAAACTTCGCCAAGTGCAGAGGACGATCGCCCAGAGAGTATCACGTGCCTATAGCACGGTCTCCAATGCGGCAGCAAAAACCCTGGCAGGCCTCCCCCCGATGGAGCTTGCAGCCCGACAGTACGCCGAAGTATACCGGCGTGTAAAAGAGCTGCAAACCGGGGGAAGACCAATCCTGCCGAGGGCGCGCAGAGTCATAAGGCTCCAGGAGAAGGTCTGGTCTAAAAGTGGCAGAACTGGCTAGATAAAGCCGAATTTGGTAGGAGGACCGTCGATGCCGTCCGACCCTGCTTGGCCGAGTGGTTGAGCGGTCGGAGACACGGATTGTCATATCACGCTGTGCAGGTGCTTACCGGGCACGGATGCTTTGGTAAGTACCTGCACAGAATAGGGAAAAAGGCCACAACTGCCACCACTGCGACGAGGTGGAGGACACGGCGCAGCACACGCTGGAGGTATATCCAGCGTGGGCAGCACAGCGCCGTGTTCTACAGGGGGAGGTCGGGAATGACCTCTCCTTCCCGGTTGTAGCGGCGGCAGCAGTCGGGAATGAAACGAAGTGGCGGGCATTCCTGGCCTTCTGCGGCAGTGTAATGTCGCAGAAGGAGGTGAGCGAGAGGATTAGGAGGGGAAAAGTACGCCCCCCCTCCGACCGACAGGGAAGAAGAGGAGGAGGAGTGGACGCCGAGGCGACCATCAAGAGTTTCGTCGCCGCCAGAAGTGTGGCGGCGACGATTGCGGCCTCGAAACGGTGCCCTGAATACGGTCCCACGTAGGGCGCGATAGGAGGGGGAGAAGGGGGACGGGCTCCGAGGACTAGAGAGGAGATGGTGGGCATTTCTTGGCTTTTGCGGCCAAGTAATGTCCCGCAAAGAGGAGGATGAGAGGATCCGTCGGGGGGAGGTAGTTCCTCCTTCACCACCATCGACGGATTCCTCCGACTAGATTCCTGTCAACCACCGGTGCTAGGAAATGACAGGTGCCATTACACAAGGCACGAGCAGGAGATACACCTTTGGGAGACTCCCCTCCGACTGAGGGGAATCCCGGAGGAGAGGAGGTTTGGCGTCCCGGCGGGGTAACGGGCGCCGAACACAACTCCCACAACTACGGGAGGAATGGCGGGGTGGGTGGTGTCCACACTCCGCCACACACAATAAGAATAGATGGCTCAATAGAGCCGACGAGTCAAATCGTCGGGAAAGGAAGCCCAAGCCAGGGTCTAGCGCTGGAGATGTCCCGGAAGTAATGATAGTCAGTTCCCGGGGCGTCTCCATAAGCGCGGCGAAGGACACCCGCTGGGTTTTAGTGGGTAAGAATCCCACACTCCCCCCGCTCCTTTCCCCGGAGGGCAAGGGAGTCTTCCCTCTCCAACATCAGAGGGGGCTACCGGGCCATATACCGGGCCTTAGAGCCCGGGAACCCGGTAGTAGATTTCCCAGCGTCAAAAAAAAAAAGGCCGAGGACCTTGAGCGTGTCATCGCGATTGATCGGATAGTCCGAGGATTCACGTTGATCCTCCGGGATATCCGTCAATAGTTTGGCTGAATTTGCGGCCCATTTTCGGAGGGAAAAACATCTGCGATTCATTACGACGAGTTGCTTGCGTTTTTCGAACAGCGACGGAAGGTCGTCTGCTCCGAAAAGAACGTCCTCGACGTAGGTCGATTCTTCGATTATAGAAACCGCGTCGGGGAAATCTTTACATTCGTCCCGAGCTAATTGAAGAAGGCAGTGCTGCGCGAGAAATGGCGATGGCTTTTGGCCGTGAGTCACGGTAAGCAAGCGATACGGTCGAATCAACAGACTTTCGGGAGGGCGCCAAAGAATTCGTTGGAAATCCGCGTCGTCCCGATGCATGCGTATCTGACGGAACATCTTCGCGATGTCCGCCATGTATACGTAACGGGATAGTCGCCAGCGTAAAATTATTGCAGCGATGTCTTGTTGTAGCTTCGGTCCCGCCATTAGGAAATCGTTGAGAGTGGTTTTATCGTCCGACTTGCTCGACGCGTTAAACACGACGCGTAATTTAGTAGTTGTACTCGATTCGCGTAAAACGAAATGATGCGGAATGTACACCGGGGGGTATCGAGAGGGCTCGTCGTCGTGTACCTCTTCCATGTGCCCCATGGATTTGTACTCCTTTAGGAAATCGTGATACTGAGCGGCGATCTCGGGTTTCTGCGAGAGTCGGCGCTCCATTTTGGAGTACAAGAAAGAAGTCTTTCGAAAAGTGTCGCCTATATGAAGGGGGCCGTTCTGAAAGCAAACAAACAATGTAACGTCCTTGAGAATCGCGAGAATGCGTATTAGCGAAATGATTTTCGCACGTTCTTCCTCTTCGGTGAGAGGATTTTGAGAGGAGATACTTTCGTCCTCCCAAAAACTTTGGCTCAATAAATTCGTATCCGCGCAGGATACGCAATTCAAAACGGAAGCGGACTCTCCGGCTGGGCGCGCGGTGCCGGCAGAACCGGAGACGATTCATCCGAAAACAGTAAGCTGGCCCGTCGGGGTGCCGACCGGACCTTGACGGAGGCCGTCGAGCAGCAGAGAACCGTATAATTCCGCGCCGATTAGTACATAAATCGGGCGATTACAAGAGGGATCGGGATCTGCTAACGGTAAATCGCGTAGATGCGGCCACATTGCGGCTGGCTTTGTTTGAGAGGCTGTGTACGAAGTGATTCGTTGGTATACGTAGCCCGAAAATGGGAATATCGGTCCCTGTTTGTCGCATGGCGCGAGCGTGAGATTAACTTGGGATCGCGCGACTCCATTAAATTTCTCTCCGAAGCAATGTATTTTTAACGCGGCACGATGACGCCTGGTTCGCATAGTCTGACAAAGAGATTCGAATATGAAACTGTATGTCGAGCCCTGATCTAGCAGCGCACGTACTTTAAATGTGCGGCCTTCGATAGTACTTAGATTAACATACGCAGTAGCGAGAAGTACATGAGGCGGCTGCGTTACATCTCGAATAGCATGCACGGTTTGAACGGACGCGGAGGGCGTGGCCGGAGGCTCGGGAGCAGCGGCGACAGACACAGCTGACGGCGCGGAGGACGGCGAGTTAATCGCAAAAAGCTCACATTTGGTACCACTTGCTGTACCCTCGCTGTGAAGCAGCGAA